CGAGATCGCTAGCGATTTCGCCCCGGGGGGTTCGAGATCGCTAGTGATCTCGCCCCGGGGGGGTGCAAAATCAGGGGGTGCGAGATCTCCGTCACACCGGCTCCATATTGTTGCTTGCCGCGTACATGTATGTACCATGGACTATGGAGGGTGGCACCCAGGCCAGAGCCTCGGAGGAGGTGATTCAAAAGAAAGCTCTTGGTCTCTCCAGGCGATAAGATATGTGTACGCTGTCACTGATCTCTCCATCGTAGACAATACTCTTAGTTCTTTTATACAATGGTTTTATGCACCCAGAATAATGATATAGAGTCATAGACGACTGTTATGCTGTCCATGTTAAACTCCATGATTGTAATGTCATGTTTTGTAAGCAGGGCTACCCATTTGCAATAGCCACGGGCTAGTTGAGCAGCCCTGGCTGTGCATGTTAAACAGCCAAACCAATAACTAAATAAAGCAAAAGTTATATTGCCACCCTGTTTTTGGTCCCATCCCTCGTAGGTCGATCGTACGATTTTAGGCCAGGCTGTGAAAGAACTAACCACCGACACTGGACCGTCTTTTAGTAAAAAAAACAACAACTGAACTTTGTACTCGTACGACGCAAGTACGACTAACACACAATGTTCGATCGTACAACGATCGTATGGCTAACTTTACCAGGCCTTAGCAGTATAATGGGCCTGCCATCGGTTGGAAGACACAAAAAAGTGCTATCCTAGCTAACTAGAACAGCGTTGCACATTTCCTCAGTGGGTTTATGCAACGAAGTAACACAGCTGATAATCATAACGACACGGGAAGATATTCCCTTGGGGCAAGAGTCTTTTTTGTCAAAAAAAAAACACGTTCCAGGCGAAAACAAGACCAGGTTACGATGTACAACGGCCAAAATGCCTCTATTTTCAAGCCAAAGAACATTGTGGTATTTTGTCAGCGTCATTTTGTCAACATAGAATCTTCTTTGCGTTGTATAGTCGCCCTGGCCTATTTTTGTTTTAAACAATGATGTGTTACACGTTTTTGTCTTTCGGGATTTAGGTAGCCAACGTCAACTTGCTGATGAATCTGTTATTACACTGGTGATTTGAAGTGAATCACCAACTCTACCGTAGAATTTGGACCATCGCACACCGGGACATGCCCCTACTCTTTTTCACTGAAGGTGTGATGGGTTCTTTCACGTGCGTGGGGTGTGGACCTCCATTTTAAAAAGACCTATACGAGGGACGTCCCTAACTAAAGCTAGGTACTCATCTTTACCTGAGTGAAGTGAGGAAAGTCGTGTTAAGTGCCTTTCCCATGGGCACAACGTCATGATAGGCATGTCAGGGGATCGAACCCGGGACCTCTTGGGTCCGAGCCGAACACTCTGACCCTTACGCCACACAATGCCACAAAACAGCGTAAACAACTTATTGCCAGGGGCCAATAGTGACGACATATCGCGCGATTGTATGCCTAATGATTGAAAACAACTAATCTCGAAGAAAAGGTTTGCCAGATCTAGAGTTGGTCAGTTTTGTATATAAGGGCTTCAGATCTAGAATCTTTTAGAAATATGATAATTAGATGATCAATGTAGCTCTGCAGTGAAGTGGAAGACTACAGTTCAGTTCAGTATAGTAGCAGTACCTGGATGATTTATTCGCTCAATTAGCACTTCTTGTGTTGGGTCAAAGCAGGGCAGAACGAAAACTGTGTCACGTAGTGCACTGCAGTCAGTCCCCTCTTGTTGCATCCAGAACCTAGCCTTCGTAGCAGGCTTATAGAACTGGGGGTTTGGTGGTCTTCGGCTGTTTTCTTATTAGCCCAGTTCTAAAAAAACGGGGGTAATTCAACCAAGCCGGCTATGTTGTCTATATGCAATCAGAAAATAGCACATAAAAGCTCCCAAAGACCTTGAAGACCCCTCCCCCCCAAACCCCCAGTTTTTGGCATGCTATATGGAGGCTATCCAGAACCGTGCTTTATCCAGAACCATGCTCAGGCACGGGTTTGCATACACGTGTATCCAGAACCGTGTTGGTGGCATATCTACTTACTTGAATGCGTATAGACAATACGGAACCGTGCCTGATCCTATTCAGGCATAGAACTACTATGTGATAGATAGGCACAGTTCTGGATACAATACCTCTGAATCACCAACACAAGACTCTGGTGTACTCTCTGAAATTTCGACATGTCTTCCCATGTTTAGTATCTTCTTAACATGTGGACCATAGCCGTAGGGTTGGGGGTGAAATTCCTTTCCTTTTTATTCAAAATCAGGTAAAAAATCACTTCGTGCACGGATGTCATCCATAAAACTTGCTTGTTGTGGCTAAACTGCCATTATTTGTTATAGGGATAAAGTTTTGACGGTTTATCGCGAGATGTACATGAGTTTCTCTCACTGCGATAGGCCACAGCAAGTAAATTCTATGGATGACATTCTCCGCAGATTCCAAATCTAATGCCAGCGGGCGAAAAAAAAAAGACGGGCCGAAAAAGACAAGGTTCTTACAATTTAAGATTTTGACTCAATCATTGTACAAATGGTTTCGATTCAATAGGAACATCACATATGCAAAGCCAACATCACATATCACTGCATCAAAGTAAGAAACAAAACAGTAAATCAGAGCCTTTTGTTGTTTCCTCTCTTCATAGATATCTGTCATCCACCTTCCGGCATGGCAACAGACATCTTTGCCCATTTTCGGCATGTTGACCACTTTCAGAAGGCAACAAAATTTCTAGTTTTTTTTCCAAAATCAGGCAAAAATCAATGCGCGCGCCGATGTCATCCATAAAAATTACTTGCTGTGGCCATAGATGTAAGTAGTTGTTTGCTTGCTGATGGAAACGAGTCTTTCAAGTCCTGGTGGTCACGTGACCACCGTTTTCCCAGCTATTAACCAACAATGCATCATTATAGAACCTTAGCATTATCATTACTCTACCAGGAAGTAAAACCAAAACCATATTTCACTTTTGTATCTAAAGAAGATATATCCAGATTATAGAATACTCCGGGCTAGCACCGATCTTTTTAAGGTACCTTCAGTGTTATGTCGATGAAGTTTAGATATCCAGGTAATGAGATACGAAAAATATTGTTACTCAAGCAACTGGATAGGCCTTGAAAACTGCCAAAGCATCCGCATCCTTGTTTCAAGTATCATCCATGCACTACCTTTCGTCAGTAACTGAAGAAAAGTAGTGGATGCTTCTTTAAACGTCTGACAGTTTTTTTTTTAAGAACTCATCCAGTTGCTTGTCGAGAAACAATTTCTTGTGTACTAAAAGAGTTATTTCTTTCCTGGGACCAGTAAAAAATTCTGACAGAAAACAATTTTTTAGAGATGAAAAATGATGTATGAAATCATGGGTCACATTTTTGCATTACTCTTCAATGAAAGCAACATTTTGACCAGCCTGGCTTCATCAATAATTACATGCAACAAAGAACAAAGGCTGGACTATGAAATGTATAATAAAGTGTGCTTTTATACTACACGACGGTCATAAAATCAACAGCTATGTAGATCACTTTTCTTCTTAGAAGTATCGTTGTAAATTAGATGTCACACGAATGTATCGCCTTGGAATTAAAGACAAAGCAGTTCCAACGGTTATCCAGAAATTGGCGCGTAAAGTCAAACAATCTGCACCTGTCCATCAAAGACAACCCATTTTTCAATACCTTTTGTACGTTTTTTTTGTTACAAAAATCGTTTTACGACGTTACGTACTCGTAGAAGAGAATGTAAGAAACCATGTAAAAGAAATCTAACACACGAGCAGATTATTAATATCAATAATACTGATAATAATCTGCTTGCTTGTTAGATAATACATCTAGACCAAAAGTTCAAGAGTTCAAAAGCTGCCGATTTGTCGGCACTTTAGCTAAACCTTCCGTCCTGGACACTGATAAAACTTTGTGTTGTATTTCATAGATCTATGTATACTGTACACTGTTTAACATGTGAGTGAATGTACAACTTAAGCCAGAGATTGCATCAGGAAAGTAAACATGCATTTTCTTCTTTCCTGGTGACGCAATCCCAAAGGAACACTCAAAACACAAAAAATGTTTTGCAAGACAAAGAATCGTTTCCGTTGGGATTTTTGCACCAGTTTGTTGCATCAAGAGATAAACACACAAGGGATAGTTGTAACTGGAATCCTAGCTAGGCTTTAGAATGATTTAAAACATACCTTCTGTCAGAAATGACCACAGGTGGAAGATATACGTTGTGCTCGTTACGGTTTGACCCGTATATGACCCGCCTGGTATCATTTGAACCGGTCGTACCACAAATAACTTTTTCTGCGTCTGCGTAGTGAGAAGAACTAATCCCGATCACCTGACGAAACCAAACGCTATTTTACGTCATAAATAATTTTCTTTCGAATACTAGAATTCAAAATTTCGTCTCAAGTATGTCTTTTATACTCTGATTATATTTTGAATTTTTAAATCATATTTGGTGTTGGTTTTGGAAGCAATCAAGATCAAGCCTCTTGTTGTTTGGGCGACCTAGTGAAGATCGCCACAAAACGCTAAAAACATCTTAGTTAACGACAGTGTAAGGATATAAGTTGATCACACAGACACACATACGGAGACAACAATGATATTGGTATAAATTTGTAATATAGGTCTCTGAATACAAAAGTCCAACACCTTTTTTTCACCTACTGACCTAAAATGTACAAACTATTACATCTGTCATCTCCCCTTCTTTAACACAACAAATACTAACTACTGACTATTGCTCGTAAAGTAGGTTTTACATCTGCAGCAATAAAACCTATCCAAAAAATATCATACAAAGGGAAAAATAATTGCTACCAACTACAGGACTTACTGGTTTATAAAATACCTGAAAACCTAACCCATTCAATATACCTAAGCAATATACACATAGTAGACTTTAAAATTTAAATGCTGGAAACTACGACTAGTATAAAATATACAGCACAACAGAGTAGAATAAAAAAACTACCACTTCGACTTTCTAGCACATGGCTACTAGTAACTGGATTAATCGTAACTTAACCTAAGATTAAGAATATGCTAAATTATCATTTATCAAGCGAAATCATGTATACTGTGCAATATCAAATAGACATCTTTACCTATACATAGCCAGCTGCGGCCATCAATGCATAATTCATAATCATAGTTTTTCATTTTTTTCCAACTTCTTACACAAGTTTGCGTGAGTCACAGTAGCTGGATATAATCATTGGTGTGAACTGTATTGTGACAAGTATTTATGCTCTAAAATAAACCTGAACTCCCAGCTAATAGCAACACAGAGTACTACCATAAATATAAAGCTTGGAATTGTTCTTTGATCTTTGAAAAGTTACTTTATGTAGTAGAATTCAGCATTCAAAAGACGAATTAGTGTAAGAATGTTGAGATTGGCACCAAATTGACATAGACATGACTGTGTTTGTATTAATATTGCGATCATTGTTGTGTAATGTAGCAATAGTTTACATTAGGAACAATCATATAGTTACAAGCACATAGTGCTTAAGAACGTGTAATAGAGTAGTAATGGTTGCTGTTTTCCATACTTTCATACGATGAACATACTAAACGTTACGTAAGTCACCAGTAGTTACCTTCGACCCTTGTACAGTCCTTTCGTACGCGTTGGTGTTGCCTACTAAAACACTTTGGCAGTCCAGAACGTTTGCAAAATGAGCGGCCACGGTTCTATACAAGTTGAGACTGCGGCTCTCGGACTTTGATGAAGATGTCACAGTTGACCACGCCTGATTCTGTGGTGCCCTCGCAGGTGTAGCATCCCTGGTTCTGCCTGTTCACTTCGGCGATGAAGAGGGAGTGGAATTCTTCGCCCTCGGTTGTCTGTCGGTAGAAGTCGTTGTTGGGCAGGGGAGTGCCTTCATACAGCCAGCGAACTCTCTTGGCTACAGGGGTACAGAACGACAGTAAAGTCATTACGTGATGAAGAGAACCAAAACTGTAGACTGTCTTCTTAGATGTTACCATGGCACAGACAACTTCCTCTTGACGTTATCTTATCTAACGTCTTTTATCCCCATCTGACACATTTGCTAAATTATCTCTCTCCCCCATCTTTTTCTCTCTTTCTCTCTCTCTCTCTCTCACTCATATCTTCTCAAAATACGAAGAAAAGACCCTACATTTGAAAATTTTGGGAGAGGCGCTGGGATTTTTGGGAGAGGCGCAGCGCCCTTGTTTCCTTGCTTGGGGAGACCCTTAGACTCAGACTAAGTGTGTGTGTGTGTGTGTGTGTGTGTGTGTGTCTGTGTATATGTGTGTGCGACTGTGTGTGTGTGTGGTGTGTGTGTGTGTGTGTGTGTGTGTGTGTGACTCTGTGTGTGTATGTGTGTGTGTGTGTGTGTGTGTGTGTGACTCTGTGTGTGTATGTGTGTGTGTGACTCTGTGTGTGTATGTGTGTGTGTGTGTGTGTGTGACTGTGTGTTTCCAAATGGCCCTTTAGGTTATTAGGTTGTAATGGACATACGGTTGGGTTCACCCTGTCCCAGAGGGTGAAAGTCATTAATCTCTGGCTGTTTTTAGTTACATGACCTCCTTGACAGCCGTCTTTTCAATGTTATTGAGTACGAATTTAATGCCTTTTAGCTCTCTCTATGGATATGAAAGATAAAGCTATGACTGCATTTTTACCGTCTCCGATAATCTCAATGATGACGGGTTGGGAATTTTCCACTTCGATGGTGCTTCCGGACTGGGCCTCAAACGGATGGACCTCTGGTGCTTCCACATCCATCTCTTCTCCTGGCTGCATAACTGCAGATTGGAAAATAGGTTTGGTCAGTTTCTAAAGAAATACACGCTTGACACTCGTATTTAGTAGAGTGGATTTATTCCTCAAGCTAACCGACATCTCGCACACGCATCTGCGAAGCTGGTGTGTTACGCCGAAGGGCGGTTATACAGATACAGATCTTCAAAGGTATATGGCACAACCGTCGTGTGACAGGCTGAATACAAGTTCTAAACTGGAACTACGCGACTCTAGATGTCTTACTGAGGGACGACTGCGGTGTGCAAGATGTCGGTTAGCTTGAGGAATGAATCCGCTCTACTATGTACGCTTAATAGTCGAACACATTCAACAGTGTCACTAGGAAATTATTCTAAGACAGACAAGAGAACCTACACACCCTGTTGGGCATGGATATCGGGGTGTCCCTCACGAGTGATGTTCACATCAACTCCTGAAAGAGAAGATACCATTCCATTTTCATAATTTGGAAGTAGAAGAAAGCGTCTATCAAACCCAGAATGTACGGATTCACGCATTTTGTGAGAAATCGATCGTTGATTCTTGTTACAGATGAATGAGTTTAATATTGTAGTAAGTCATGGATTTTAGGTTTTTCTGTTTTTTGTATTCACCATTTTATCCATTTCTGTGAGGTTTGAAAGACGCTTTCGTAAAATTTACCACTGTTACTGTACTAAACCAGCAATGCCGCTATTCTTGAGCTTCACAAAACCGTTCAAGTATCCGCTCCCTTGTAACTATATATGATGCAAAAGCCATTGTGTTATACAACGCTCCAGCTTTTCTGCACAAAGTCTACTGCACTGGCAATAGCTTCATGCATCTTCCTGGAACGTCAGTATAGAAAGAAAACATGTCATTACTGCTCGGCGCTACACCTTTATTTCCCAGCATACAACATGAAATTGAAAATAAAATCCACCAATAGATTCATGCCTTTCTCCTTGCACAAAATTTATGACTTATGCAAGTGCTGAAAAAAGAATTGCAACATTGAAGCTGAGCGATGCGATGTATGCCGCAAAATGAAAAGCTGTACATCCACGAGCGCTTTAATATTGGATTTCATGCAGTACATTGACGGAAGTGCTGCATGCTGACTCGATCCCTTACCCAGACCAGAACCCCTGACGGGTCCTGATGCTCTGCCGAGCATGTTGGGATCTAGATGCTGAGAGCCACTTTTGTGGAGATCCATGTAGCCTGTAAGTAAATGAAGTTATTATAACATCAGAACACATTATGCTTAATTAAATGATGACCAGTATGATCTGCAATGGTTTGACATAAAGGTAATATAATGACACAGAATTATAAACATCAGAAAACCCACAAATTACAAAAGTGGGATCCTTTGCCTTCCTCTGTCTTCCAAAAAGGAGTCAAACCCAGTAGTTTTCACTAGTAGCTTCTTAGTAGTTATCAGTAGTTCTATGTGTACTAATTGTCTTTATACCAAATGTTTCTTCTGTTCCTGCAATTATCTCTCGGGCATGAATTTACAATAAAACATAAAACATTGTAAATCACAGTGATAGACAGCAACCTATGATATGTTGATAGGACTAACCACTGGACTACATGATGTTTGAATCTTGTTTTGGTCATCATGATTAGATCTTTATCATAGCAAAATCCTTAGACTTTTACGCAACATACAGCTTCAACAGGTTCATAAATTGATGATTGGATGATCATTTGTATTAGAAGATAAGTGTGTTGTAGACGTACCATCCAGACCAGAAGACATCTTTGGAGCGTCCACAACATCCATCTTAGTCATCTTCGTCTCTACTGGCTCAACAGCGACCATGTTCGACATCTTCAACTCATTGACGCTGTTTAACATCGGCATGTCCGAACCAGATTCTGGAATATAGACAAAGCAATGATCATGATATAAATAACATAGACGTGCTATTTCTATTGATAAATAACTCAGAAATGAGCAGCTACATGCAATCACAAGAAAAATATTATCGTGTTGAAATACAAAATTGTGGGTCAATTTCTAAACATCGCTGTAATTTAGTGATTTTTAATCATTATACATCATGGCAAAGCTTAAGGATTAGATACATTGACTAAATAGAACACCAACAGCAATCAAACAACAAATGAAATGCAACGTAACGCCAAATGAAATGCAAATTAAATGTAACATAACACCAAACTGAGTCCAATGAAATGCAGCCTAAAGCCCCATTACACATTCACGACCGAATTAGTAACAGAATTCAGCGAGCCGAGCCATGGTTTTGTGGGGTTCAGCTAGTGTTAAGGAGGCCAAATTCCCGAATGTGTGACAGGGGCTTAAAAGCAAATGAGGACAAATCCCATACCTTGACGCCATGCATGTAACACATGCGAAGCAGTGATCATTGTTACAGCCACGATAACTACTGACAATGGCATCTGTCCGTCCCATGCCACCAGCAGGCATATAATACATACAACATCGTACCTTTCCCACGACCCATAGCGTCCTTACCGCTCAAATCGCCGTCATATTGCCCGTGAGCAAACATGCGGGGCCTGGCCATGGTCCCATTCTCCAGGTGAAGTTTCATTTCCTTCTGATAGTCAGGACCTAAAAAGAAGACACAAAAAGGTGTTATGAAGTGTTACAAAGTGTTATGAAGACTTCGTACATGCTTTGCATTTGAGACACATGTCTCATGAAATTTCGTGATCACCAGTCCAATTTCCTGAGCATATTGTATTTGTCATTGGGAAGGTTTCACGACTTTTATCTATGGACATGCTTTTGTTTTTGACGCATCGGATTTTATTTGACTATTGTCTACCTTTTGTTGCTTGACTAAATGTAATCATGTCTTGTGTGTGTAAACGCAATCTGGCATGAGAGCCATTGCAAATCAGGCTACCCAGCTGCTTTTTTATTGAATATACAAATAAGTCAATAGATGAATAAACCGCCTACAATACTATATCTATATGACTATGACTGTGATTATGACTACAACATTTGGAGTGTCACATATAGTACTACGTCTAACGTCCTCTGGTCTCTCAGTCACTGACGAAAGCTAGATGATTCTAGCTGAAACGTCTGACCGTTTCCAAAATCATATCTAGTTGCTTGAGTAGCTGCTTTTTGGCCTATCGTATTACCTGGATGTCTGACCTTCATCGACGTGTCCCATTATGTTCTTACCTCCCATCTCGGCAGCTAGACTTGGGTTCTGCTGGTTCACACATGCCAGGTAGTGGTAGAAGGCGGGGTCAGGGCGGTCTTTCACCATGTCAATCACCACGTGGTTAGCCTCCTCTCTGGTGGGAATGCTCTCCAGATGCTTCGCCTCCATGGGGTTGAAGTACTGGAAACAGATCATGTAAATTAGGATCATGATAATGTTTTTGTGACGCCTCAAAAGCAATATCGGGAGTTAGTCGAACTCGTTTACTTAATGCCATATGTTAATTATTACATACGTGCACAACAATTGTACAAAATACAACGTATGACATCTATTGCTATAAAATAGCAAATATACTACAAGACTAAAAAAAATTATAAAAATCTACCTCACAAAGGACTAGTTATACAAAAGGAGAATGTGCTCTTGCCATTTGGTGGCCACAGGATTTCTAGCGTTTCTCCTTTTTTTTAATTTTTGTGCAGTCGGTGAACACATTTATTTAATTTCATATGTTAATCAATAGACATAGTTACACAACAATTGTACAATTTAACAAAGTACGATGTACTGCATCTACTGCTAATAGTATATATCAACAATACAATTTAAGTACTAATCTACCTTGGAGAAGATTGTGTATGATGAAAAGAGGAATTTGGTAGGATTTCTACTTATAGCTTCTCCTCTTTTAAAACGTTTGCCCTAAATGTATAAGACATTGGTTGTCACATGTCACCACGTGCTTGTGCTTTGCTACAATACATTATGACATCTTGAATGCTTTAAAAACAACACCCGATACTGCTGAGACATCCAGAAACAGGGTCTTACCTCATTTATCCTCATGTGGTTGATGACAGGATGAGGGTCCACAGTAGCAGCCAGGGGTTCCCGGTAGGACTCCAGAGTTGACTTGTGGACGTCAGTCATTTCAGGCACTGAGGGAGAAAAAGAGAAAATCATGAGTTAGTGAAACAGCTTTGAAGATATTCTGTGATAATAAGCATTTTTCCTGATCGCTGTAGTCAAAGGTAATCCGATGTTTATGGTAAAAACGTGAAACAAACGTGAGTCAGTGAAACAACTTTTAAGATATTCTTTGATGATTAGTCAAAGGTACTCCGAGGTGTAACACTGTAGAGTGGCATCTGTCTAGTGGCATCCCTGGGATGACTATGACAGAACGCTAACCTTCATTCCTACACTCACTTTAAATTTCTGACGATTTAGGTTGTGAAATATTATTGTATTGTCAAACTTGAAGGCATTCAATGCAATGTCAGGGCGGCAAAATTGTAAATATTCTGAAGAAGGCAATATTAATGATACTGACAAATACTGCCCCGCAATAGTACATTTGCATCAGTATGTCATACAGCACATACACATTCAGCACAGAAATAACCTCTAAGATGAGTCCTTCATTTTCTGGGTGGTACCCCAAAAGCAGTAACCGTTTTCTGTCACACCATGAGTGTCGATATACATTGAGGTAGAGTTGTTTCAACCTAGTATGTAGATACGTGTCTGGAATATTGAATTAGAAAAAATTAAAGCCCTAAAAACTGCATCTTCAACGCTATAATGCCGAACTGAAGTCAAACGACCGTACCTTCCTCCTCCAGTAGATCAGACAGCCAGGGATGTTCAGGGCGGACTCCATCGCAGAAATGGTCGAAGGCGTGGTCGGGACGGTTCGGCAGAATGTCCAGGAGCCTCTCATTGGCCAAATCTGGTTCCTCAATCTGCTTGATCTGGCCTGCCATTGCCTGTGGTAGGACCTGAGGCAACAAGGTATTTTTTTAATACGTTGGACTGTGAAAATGAAACATCTCGCTTACTAACGAAGGGTTTATGATATTCATCATCATCATATTCAGATTTATTGAATATCGACCGGCATGTCACAGTCAAGTGCATGAAATATGTCGATTATTTACAACATACACCGCATTATTACAATTAGATAAAGTTATCATAAAATTTTACATATATCTGCATCAATATCGGTAGAATCCAACACAAAAACATATCACGACAATGGATACATCAGCTGAAACATCAAAGGATCAGTATTTAGATATCATATTTCACAGCACAGTGTTAAACTTTATGCCAACACAAGTGTCAAATTTTCAACGGCCAATGTTAACTTCTTCAGGATAATGAATGACCAATCACTTCCCAGAGTGAACCCGCGAGAGTTACCGCGACGGTTTTCAAAATTAACCAGTTGCTTGAGCAACAATTCCTTGTGTATCTCATTACCTGGATGTCTAACCTTCATCGACGAAACCTCTAAATCTGTTTAAAAACGCTTGAACTTACCTCTCTTTCTACCAGATGATCAGCCACAGGGTCCGGGCTGACGTATCGGATGATAGTGTCCCGTAGTTTCTTAAGTCGCCCTTTGTGATAGGGTGTCATAACTGAAACATAAGATCTGCAGTTTAGAAAAGAGACGTACATGTAGAACGTGTCTAAACGAACCCCAAAAATATATTGAAAAAGAAAATAAATGTCTCAAATGGCGACGAAGTAATAAACAAAATTATTAAATGTTAGTATCAGTTAGATACCAGCGATTGTATACAAATAGTAGATAGTCTTGTACTTACCATCTACACCAAAGTTCGACGGTCTACCGTTCCTCTCGTACATAGTAAAGGCTTCGCTTTTCTGCAAAGAAACGTTCGTCAAAATGAAAAAAGTGCAACTGGTCAGCCCGTTTTAAAAACATAGGACACTGCATGCAAGTAAAAACATACTTCAGCAACGAAATCTCTTAACGTAGACGCACACTATACTTGCTATAAACATATTAGCAATAACCAAACCAATTTCCCTATTTCATACACTTTAGCACTGTAACAAAATGCATGTTTCTAATGCAACTATAGACAAACCTAAAATCGAAAAACATATCATAGCTGCTCTTTTATCTCTACTGTAACTGAAAAGCGAGAAGTTGAATTTATCTAACGGTAGATGGTATTATTTTGTGTCTGTTAACAGCATACGTATACATTCAACATCTGACCATTTCTTCGAAGCACAGTCTACGGTATAGGTTCTATCTAGAAGAGCTCACCGGTCTACGCCTCCGCCTTCTCTTGCACCAGAGACAGCAGCAACAGCACAGTGTCAGCAATAGCGCGATCAGCAGCGCTACCAGGAACCAGAACAGCATCGGCATCCACCAGCTGCCCTGCACTGTTGGGGGCAAAACGGTAAGTGTAAAGGTCTTTGCTAATCAAAGACTGTGAGGAAACACCTATATCTGTTTTTGTATCTGTGCAGACAGAAATTCTATCTAATATGGATACTTACATGTACTTCCATTTCGTATCACATTTTTGTAATCATTTCATACTTGAAATAGAAAAAAAAAACGAGCTCCGTGAGGCATCTCTTTATTTTTGGGGTACACCCAGAAATAGCTAGAACTAGCCTACGATACAAAACAAGCAACCATTTTCCATCAGTGACATTGCAGTTGTACCTCACAGATATCAGTATGCTATGGGATAAGTTTGATTCAACTTATTACATTGCAATAATGGACAGAAAATTGGCTTTGGAAATCTTGTTGGCCATAAATTGCATTGGATGTGTTAACTTACGTCCGACGAGCCATGGGTTTATCGTTCCCATTGTTGTTGCTCGGGTGATGTTGCTGTATTCACCGAAGTACGGATGGCTGTAGGCTCGCACCTGCACACGACAAAGAGCAATGTGTTGGGTATGATACATTTGTACAACAAACAGCATTTCTTGCTTATAATATCCATCCAGTAACTAACTAAAAAAATGAATGAATGAAGAAATAAATAAAAAAAGGCAAAGTATTATTCTTAAATCTAGAAATTCTGAACTGCGTGAAGTTGTCCTTTGTTCTTAATTTTCTGCCGTTTAAGCTTCCCCGTTTTGGAGTTAGCTAACTAGAGAGGGTGGGGAATTTAGACAGTGCAAAGTTCACAAAGATTGCAACAATTAGCCAAAGACTAGGCATTGTTAGACATTTCTGGTTTTCACATTTCTTCTGTGTTCATATGTCTTCGTTAAATTTTGTATTGGAAAATACTAATAAAGACTATTTTTAAAAGACCACAGCATCGACTTACGGACGTCATAAAGGGATCATCAATGAACCTATCTTTAAGCAGATATTTAACCATACGTAAAGGTACAGGTAATAGAAGAAACCGAAACTTTACGCATTATGCCTTAAGGTGTGCTTGAATAACGGACTTTTTGTAGTGGGAAGTTTGGGGCTAACCTGGAAGTTATAAAGCGTGCTCGGCTGAAGTTGACGGAGTATGTAGGTCTCCTTGTTGGAAGGTCCTGGTACCTTCGTGATACCGTCGTCATAGAGACGGGCGTACTTGAACCCAGTTTCATCCTCCTCCTCTTCCTCTGGGATGTAACGGAGCTATGGAAAAGACGTTCCCACAAATTAATTACCAATGCAGCAAAAGTAGTAAGTTACAGCTACGAACGTACGGATACAACTGACCACAGTACTCCTTTTATGGAGCTCTTTCGCGGAGTATCATAAAAATGACATTTTAACATGGTTTAAAACAGCTAAGGGACACTTTATAATATAACATAATATAATACAATAATATAAAACAATATATATTACTTACCCAAGTATCCCACCAGAGAGCACGTTTCTGTGTCGTAATAGGACGTGAAAAAGAAAAAGAAATTCGGTTACTGTGATTGGGCAGAGATTTACAAAGTTAACAAACTACGAACTGTTCACATACATAATGTCATCGTCTAAACACCTGGTGATTGAGAAACTCTGTGAATTCGTGTACGCATGTCTCAAGAGGAGAGAAGAAACTAGTAAGCTATTGTAAGCTTTAGAGTTAGATGAATTATAGTATACAGTAGCTGTTTGTTTTGTTTTGTTTTGTTTTGTTTTTCTTCTTATAAAATTCCCTATGTACTAGTAACTAGTATCATCCAATATGTTATGTCATCCAATGCATTTAGCCCGGAAGGGCATGAATATGCAATAAACATCATTGTCATTGTCTACTGTTGTCAGACAGTTATATGTCATATGAGACACACAGACAGACAGATAGACCGAAAGGTAGACATATAGATGTAGATGGATAGATATAGATATGATACAAAATGCCTTGAACATTTACTAATTTAGCACCCGTACGAGTACTACACTAAAGTAGCTGTTTGCCTATCAACTCTTTATTGGTTACAGCAAGGAGCTTTCATCACATGAAAGTTCCTTGGTTACAGGGTGAGTAGCAGAGAGAGGATTTAAGGTGTTGATAGTGATTTTTTAGACTTACGGCTCGACGAGCGGCCCTTGGGCGATCTTGTTCTCTCCAGTACCGGACACCCCAGAACGGGATCGGGCCGTTGAAGTTCGGGATTTTATCCCACTGCATGGTCACGGTGTCGTTCATTGCGTCTATGATTACAAGGTTTCTCGGATAGTCCGGTACTGGGGATAAAATGGCACGTACAGTGATCTCGTGTTAGAGTGAACTTCAAGCGAAAATTTCGTAGCATATATACAAAAATGGTGTTATGGTAAACATCGTTCTTAAACTTGTATGAGGGCATGCGTGGCTTACAATATCTTCAATATATTTTTTAACCACAAAGCAATCTTTTAATTAAAATGTACTTATCTTTTTTTTCATCGTGGACGTTATTACTTCAAAGATATTGTCATGTTTGTCTGTAGCATACAGTCTCTACAAATCCGTTGCATTTGATTTTTGAACTGTGAACCCTGACGTACATCGAACAGTATACTCAACACTTGGACGGAAAGACTAAGTATTCTTATGTATTGTAATGTATGTATATACTCACGTCCTGAAGATGAATAGGCGATCCACGAGGCCTCCGGTCCGACACTGTAGTTATTGTAAGCCGCGATCTTACACTCGTACGGCACGTTGATGGGTGCTGGAGGCTGGGTGTGTGCGTAGGCTGCGGCCTCAGGGTTGTCGATGTAGACCGTCTTGAAACTCCCCCCGGTCCCCTGTCTGCGGTACCGCACACGGTAACCAATCGTGTCTGCTCCCCAGTCGGACTCTTGGAGTGGCTACGGGACAGAAGATTTGAATTTTATTCAAGCATACCTTGATTGTCATTCAGTGACGATGAATGGTATGTCTTTGTCTTTATTTGAATCAATGTCTTTAGATCAGACTTTAGAAAATACAAATCCCATTGGAAGGTTGCTCGCTAAATCATTTTATAAGAATATTTCAAGATATCATGAAAAGAACTGTCGTCACTAACACCAATATGTACGAATAGTTTTAGTGGTAACACGCATAGCTTCAATGAACAGCGAACCAGTCATAATTGCCCTGATGAAGGTGACAGACGGTTATCGCAACGTTGGCTCTTGTTTAACAAATAAATGTGAACAAAGAACTTTCGTTGCTATTCTATATAATTCACCAACCTAAACAAATTATTAACGGAGTATGTATACCTGTCCCTCCCAAATATATCATTATCAAGGTATTTTTGATACGACAACAGACACACACGTACCTCCCAGCTCATCAGCACATCTCCTTCCATGCCATTGCCGTAACCCAGCTTTCCTGGTGCTCGAGATGGAGCTGTAAGGAAACATGTGTATCTTTAATATCCATATAACACCCAATGAATGTATATCGTAGTACAGATACACAACCAAACCATTGTCTGCCAATTCCTTACACATATAAGACTTTCGTCCTACACTAGTGTTAAGTCTTTGTCACATTTAGACCAACAAAACTTAACTGATGCTCTAGATTGATAGACCGAGGCAACATCAAGATATCACTGATGAGAATGTTCGACATGAGATACAGGAGCACATCTACGCGTATGCCGAGTGTTCATTTGCTAATGATAATTATCTAAATTATAGTTTTACTTTGTATCTGTTCATCATGTTTTGTTGTGACCTGTACTTAGCCCAGTGTGGCAAAATGTGCAATAAAGGTCGTCATTTGTACCTTTATACCTACTGGTATAAAGGCACTATTCCTTTCTGTCGGGTAGCTCGGCATCAAGGCCAAGCATTTTCTGATGTAACTCAGAGAAGAGCTAATGCTGAATAAGAGATTAAGGAGTACACCTACACGTAAGCCAAGTGTACCATTTAATGCCTAGGTCACATTTCCAAACCGGGGCCCGGCCGGGCTGTTGGTATGAACGAAAAACTAACAATTCATATCAGAAATTCAATATACAGAAATAGTGCCCATGATTATTATCAAAAACTTTTCTGTGTTTATTATCTTTTATATCGGACTTTTCGTTCAATAAGACTGCCCGGCCGGGTCCCGGTTTGGAAATGTGGCCTCAGCATAAAAACTTTTTTCTAATCCATACCTCCTGGCAAGGTCCTGTTCCTTTCGGTCGGGAAGCTCGGTTCACCCATACCGTATGAGTTCATACACATGACACGGAAACTGTACTCGGTGTTCGGCTTCAGGTTGTTCAGGGTGAGAGTCCTGCCTCCATTCCGGGCATCTAATTGGAAACAATAACCCCATCAATGTAGTCAAATCAAAGGTAAATTAATACATATTCGTGAATAGTTTCATCAGGTTGGTAAGTCATTGAATAAATAGATACTTTGGGAATACATCTATAGCAGCGACACATGTGCTGCTGTGCAATGTGAACCAGTCAGAACTGCCCTGAGGAAGGTGACAGACGGTAACCAAAATTTCGGCTGAGTAAAACACTGGGTTGTGTAGAAAAAAGTCTCTTTATTCAGTAGAATCAATATCACACTGTAGTACGACTAGCTCAACTTTCGTACGTACGGCCTTTCCTGTTAGATATGTATTCTCTTGCTCATTGCCATTGACACTATAAACAGGTTCAAGTAATAAAGCAATGCACAGATCTAGAAATTTTCGCATGCCGCATGACATATTTAGAGGTAGAATTTCGTCAATATCTACCCTATATTGCAGAATTTATAAGCTTCGAACACAGAGGACAGAAACAACGCAGTACGACCATGCTACCCCATTGCTGTCTTACTTTTAACGAGCGTACTCACTTCTGAGGGAGTTTGGTGAACCCCGCCAAACCTGTGTCCACAGTCTGTCCGTGAAGAAAATGTCATCGAACTCTGTCTGCGCCTCCACCACGTACTCCTTACAGTTGTCTCCGTTGGTGTTGGCTTGAGTGAAGCGGAGAGTAGCGGTGTTGGACCCCACATTCTCAAACTTCACGCCGACTGGCGCTTCGCTCACACCTGAGGGTGCAAAAATGTGGCATATTATTAGGGTTATAATGAACGTCTTTTGTATAGGTAGGTGTATTGTTTGCACGTTTTGGACAGTACCAGAAACTATTCTGTCGATACCATATTGTCTTTCCAATTTTAATTGAATTTTTTAGAATAGTTATTTTATTAGGATATTACATTTAAGATCAGTATGGGATCATATATTGAATATAGATGAATACGAAATCATCTGAGGCAAGAGGTTAAAATTGATTTGTAAGACAATAATCTTGACATTCCTTTCAATAAAGTACAAAATATGTTTTAAAAGCTTTGACATTTACACACTACAACATCATGTGAAATCAGTCAGAACTCTAACACTTTTCAATCAATTATATGAAAATTCACATCCTGATTTCATTTTCTTGTGCTCACACACTAATGTTTGCTTAGTATGGGGTATATTATTTCTAAGTTACCTTGCTTTTGTATCGACTTATGTTATGTATGAACATTTAGTTATCTCTTGTTATTTTTTATTCTATTTTATGTTACTGTTTTAAGTTTGCCCCCCACCCCGACCTGGGCATATTGAAAAACTGCCAGTAGGTGATACGTTTTCCGGGATGAAATAAACAAACAAACAAACAAAAGCGATTTCATCATACCTTTGATTCGCACTCTGGCAGTTGCAGACTGTTCATCCGAAGAGGTGTCCAGTCCGCATGTGTAGACTCCATCGTGCATCATCACGTTTGCGTTCATAATGATCAGTTCTCCTTTAGGACCCTACAAGACAGATTCAGCAGGCAAGTGATACATGCATCAATTTAATAGTTATTTATTAGTTGAACAATTTACACATTCGAAGTTCAAACAACATTTGATGCAAAAGGAAATGTCTCAAATCCTTTAAAGGCATCCGATGCAATTTCAGGGTAGCAAAACGTTAGCCGTGTTAACAAAATAATTATAGTAGATTTCTTATTTCATGTTTGTCTCCACGTTTGTATATGTGGGTTATCTAATACCTGTCACCACTGCCTTGATAACCTGTGTCTTGACCTGTTGTCATTGCCAATAAAGAAAGAAAGAAAGAAAAGAAAGAAAGAAAGAAAGAAAGAAAGAAAGAAAGAAAGAAAGAAAGAAAAAAGAAAGAAAGAAGGAAAGAATATTCTGAAGGAGGAAATCTGTCTGATATTGACATTCATTTCTGAGCACATTTTCGTCATAATTTCATACTTGAAGCGTTTGGAATCGTCCCCAAAACAAGCTACCCATAAATTGCTAAAAACAGCCTCACAGATATCAGTATGTTATGGGATAAGATTGATTCAAGTTACTACACCAAAATAATGACAGAAAATCCAGTTTTGCTGCTCTGGAATTGCATCGGATGCCTTTAAACGCATGGTTTGGCGAGTATGGCAAAATCACCACCTACCCTCTTGTAGTTGAAAGATTCCTTCTCGAAGTCGATTCTCCTGCCGTCCACATACCAAGTGTTGACACTTTCCAGTAGGGAGTCTATCTGTCCTTCACACGGGATGGTTACAGTACCTCCTTGTTCCATGTTGACATCTGTGGGTCCACGGCCTTGTATGATGCGCGATTGCTCTGGAACAAAAAATCAGTTGTTTTTTTTTCAGACAATATCAGATTTTATGCTCTGTAATGCAAAACACTGAATTTTGCACATCTGATGAAGTTGTATTCTTAACAGCACTACAAAAAATCGTTCTTTAAACACGCCTTAAACAATTTGTAAATTTGCGTTTCTTCCTTTACCCAACCTGTACCTTCATGCATACTTTAAGATGTGCTTAAATATTGGATTTTGTGTTTTGTCTGAGGTTTGCTTGTGTGGAAGAATTTACCGATGAGACTATTAGTACTTCCAATACTCTTATATATGTTTCGTTTCTCTACGTCACGATTGTGTTCAAGTCTTGTCAGTAGGACATGCCCTAATAGCAACAGACTAGTTGGGGTGCATGCCCTGGCTGTGTGTGTTGAACACACACTTTCATAAATAAATAACAATATATTGTGTTCATGCCAAAAATACAACGCATTCACTCTTAGATTCTGTCGCAATTCCCTTGCTTCTCCACAGTACGCTATGCTGCAGTCTTGGTTTTTCATTTGCAACTAGCATCTCTACTAATACTAGTGCTAAATAACAAGAAAGGCCGACATTTGCTCGAGAGAAAATGTAGCAAATGGCTTCACCACATCCCCCATACCAAAAATGGCGTGAAGCCATAATAACGTGCAGAATTAACTTACGGGCGATGTATAGTCTTCCGGCGGTATCTACACTGCCATATACGTTTTGGATTCGGAAGCTGTAACTTCCTGCGTCTTCTGGAGCCAGGTTTCTGATGATCAGATAGCCCTCTTTCGTTATGTTGTACCTGTGGAAAGGGAAGAAAGGGAGAGATTGAAATCAAACGTACAGCCTTGCCATCAAAGAAGTGCAAAGGAGGTCATATATTTATCAGGGCACTCAGGTCATCACTAAACAGAGACGGTGGACGATATAAACTCCCTGGCACGTTTGGTCAATTGCTGACGTCATGTATCTGCAAAGTCTCGTGTGACTACGGTCACGTGTTTGTAACTCTCGCGAGATTACGTTTCGAAGTGATTGGTCCTGATGAAGACGACAGTGGTCGCTAAAGATTTGATCCTGTGTACCATTTGTGTTTGAAGAAAGACTAGTACAATGAAAACAATACATAGTGGAGGGTGTGACCACCGAGGTATGAAACTACAGCAGTGTGTATGGAGAGCAACTTACTTTGAACTACTTGTCGTTATAACTCCTTCCGGAGTCATACTTGCGATGACCTCGCTTTGCTTGATCCAGTCCATGGTAGGAGCCGGGGCCGCCTCCCACTCCAACTTCATGATTATATCGGACCCTTCCATTCCGTTCTGTTGACCGATTGGTTTTTTGATATTCGGTACTGTATAAAAATGTGAACAGTAAAGAATGCTTCAAATTGGCTTTAGGAGACAAAGTTGATAGTCGATGGGTATATCTATGTAGATAGAAGAAAGTAGTAGTGCTAGTTGTAGTAGTAGTAGTAGTAGTAGTAGTAGTAGTAGTAGTAGTAGTAGTAGTAGTAGTAGTAGTAGTAGTAGTAGTAGTAGTAGCAGCAGCAGCAGCAGCAGCAGTAGTAGTAGTAGTAGTGGTTGTAGTATTAGTAAAAGTAGTAATAGAAGTAGTAGTGGTGGTAGTAGCAGGAGTTGTAGCAGTAGCAGTAGTAGTAGTAGTAGTAGTAATAGCAGTAGTAGTAGTAGTAGTAGTGGCGATAGTATTAGCAGACGTAGTAGTAGTAGTAGTGGTAGTAGCAGTAGTTGTAGTTGTAGTATATAGGAGGAGAAGGAGTGGTAGTAGTAGTAGTAGTGGAAGTAGCAGTAGTTGTAGTAGAAGGAGAAGGAGTGGTAGTAGTAGTAGTAGAGGCAGTAGTAGCAACACATACCTCGCACAGTGAGGCGGATTTCTGTGGCGTTCACTCCCCAGTCGTTTGTAATAATGCATCGGTAACTGTAAAAAAAAGAATAACAACAGCACACTTTATTGTACGACAACTGTACTAGATACAACGTATGGCACTTACTGCTATATCTGACTAATCTACCGTACAAAAGACTATGTACTTTGGTATCAGAATGTGCTTTGAAAATTAATGGTGAAAGTTTTAACATTCAACCATATTTTGTAGATAATGCCCTACATGTACAATGTGTAGGTTAATAACAACTCCTTTATTAGCATAGGACATATCATAATCTCAAGACTGTAGTACAAACCTGTATGCCTTTGTACCATCTAGCCCTTTTAACAAGAATTGCGGAATGTTAACAAAGAAGTAATAAGTAAGATTCAATCCAGTCATGCCAAGTTTAGGTACATGTACCTTTGCGAGCGAAAAAAGAGAACAACATTTGGTACAACTTACCTCCCTTCGTCGTTCAGATCTAGATTCTTGACAGTCAGCTTGTCAGTGGCTACGATGTACTTGACGTTGTCAGTCACTATCTTGTCCCTCCCGAAGTACCAACTGTACACCAGGGGTTCACTCCCCTCCGATTCACAGGAGAAAACCTCCGTGCCTCCGACAAGAAGGGGCTTTTCTGAGTCCCTTACCAACGGCTTGGGTGGAACTGTGTGTGCAAAAAAATACATCGTCATTATTTTGCATTATCACATAGCCAGAAGACGCCGACCAATCAGAGGGCTCCATTTCCAATCAATATCAGAAACACTACCCGCTTTTCAAATGACCTTCGGTGACCCAGGACTCACACCCAGGGTTATCATGAATTGGTCCAATGGGGTTGACCGATTCACATGACCCTGGGTACGAGATCTCAAGGTCAGTCCGCCATCTTTGTTCTCAACGTACTAATACCATGCTGTGTACGATGTACATGCATGGTTCTGGATTTTTTTCCATATCAGTATATCATTTTCCTTATATTAGTATAATCATGAGCATGATTATCATTTTGGTAACTACACTAACGCTGGGACAAGATTATGCATTTTACCCGTACCAATTCATTTTACATTCAATTATAGAATTAACTCTTTCAGCTGGATCAAAGTAAGTTATAGACATTTTCTTGCCCTTGTGGCATCTTTTCATTGAAGTCATGTACAGAACCATCCTTCGAAGTAGGTTCAACCAAACTTGGTAGAGAACACAGTTCAAAAGATGATCGTTGACAAAATGTGTCGCTTCAAACAGATGGATTTTCCTACCTTTGACTTCGATCTTGCCCTCATGTGAGACTGATCCCTTCTCGTTACTAGCGGTACACTGGAAGATCCCGCCGTCCTCTTCGCTAGCTTCCGGGATGATGAGGGCGTGAGAGTGGGAGTTGAACCGGGCCCTAGCCGGGAACTGGATTTCTACCCCTCCTTCTCGTGCTGGCCTGTCTAGTCGTTTCCATCGGATATCTGATGCCGGGCTGAAATCATGATAGAATGTGTATTTTCAGGCTGTATGGCCTACATTTGACAATCGTACACCCTAGAATATAACATTGACATACCACAAAAAGTGCCATGTCTGATAGTATAGCAATGATACTGTAGTATGGTCTCTGACTATAGCAATTATAGTATGGTCTCTAAATATAGCAATGATAGTACGGTCTCTGACTATAGCAATGATAGTACGGCCTCTGACTATAGCAATGATAGTATGGTCTCTGACTATAGCAATGATAGTACGGTCTCTGACTATAGCAATGATAGTACGGCCTCTGACTATAGCAATGATAGTACGGTCTCTGACTATAGGAATGCTAGTACGGTCTCTGACTATAGTAATGATAGTACGGTCTCTGACTATAGCAATGATAGTACGGTCTCTGACTATAGCAATGATAGTAGGGTCTCTGACTATAGCAATGATAGTATGGTCTCTGACTATAGCAATGATAGTACGGTTTCTGACTATAGCAATGATAGTACGGTCTCTGACTATAGCAATGATAGTAGGGTCTCTGACTATAGAAATGATAGTACGGTCTCTGACTATAGCAATGATAGTAGGGTCTCTGACTATAGAAATGATAGTACGGTCTCTGACTATAGCAATGATAGTAGGGTCTCTGACTATAGAAATGATGGTACGCTGTACTCACTATGCGTCGTCGAAACACTCTAACTCCGCAGTATATCCTTCGATTGGAACGATGTCGGCTGGATTGAGCATGATAACGGGTTCTCTGGGCTTGATAGCTGAAGGACAAAGAAACAAACCATCAATTGATGTAACAAAGGACAAACCTTTGAAGATGGATGTGTTTACGATTTTTCTATTGTTTGTTGTTTTTCCATGATATGTTTATGTTTCGGTGTTAAGTATCAATTGATTGTGTAAAGCTGGACACGTACATCATGTCAACACGATATCTACGTTTGTCTTTATGTATTGATGGTTTTTAGAGTTTTTATTGTTGCATTCATATAAATCAGACTATGGTGAGGATATGTAGTTAATTGCCCACTTTGTACAATAAATGTCAACCGAACTTTGGTACCAATCAATCAATCAACCAAATGGTTTTATTTTCAACCGACTTCACAGCATCAGGCTGAGTCTATTGTACATTCATTTTTAAATTTTATAATTATAATGTGTATAATGTATCTTATAATGTATAATGTTTTAAAAAAACATTATACATTATAAGATACATTATATACATTATAATTATAAAATCGTTAATGGTACATTAAAAAGAGCGTCTTACTTTAAAAACATAACTCATAAGGTGTACAAGTACAATAGTGAAGCTCTGACTGTAAACATAAAAGGCAACGTACAAATACATGGCCAATGTGTACTTCAGACATACATCTCTTGACTAAATTCTAGACTGAAAATATTGAGGACAATAGTATTGTTTCCTGTTACAGACTTGGGACAAAGAAGATTCTACTTACGAGGATTGAGATCCCGATTGACGGTGACTGCGATCGCAGGGCTGGACCTGTTGTCTATGTCTCCAAAGAAGTCAGTCGATAGTTGATTCTGGACGAAGCATCTACAACAAAAAAAAAACGTTTGTCTTGTCAGCAGGGCAAGCCCTAAATAATAACCGCCTGGCTAGGTGGGCTGCCCTGGCTGTACACTTTGTCTTTTTATAGCCGAACGAATAAATAAAAATAAATAAATAACAAAAAAACGTAACATGAATCCCCTTGTCACACTTTCACGAATTTGGCCTCCCTAGCACTAGCCGAACGTCCCACAATCATGACTGGGAGTAGGTTGGAGCAAAATTCGGCTATTGCTCGGCGAGGTCGGCTACTATTATTCGACTGCACCACCCGAATGTTTGAAAATATTTATAACATTACAGGGTTGGTACGGAGGTTCGGCCATAGTTGGCTGGTGTTGGACTGTAAGTCAACAGAATACCAGCCAAGCATCTGCAGTAAGTAAGCAGTTTTCGGGTGTATCTGGTGGTCACATTTGACTCACATTTAAGTCATATTCGTTTCGATTCGTGCGTAAAGGTAGACATGGCCTAAATCTGGTCAAACTGTCCCCGAACGTGATCGGCTGGTGTTCGGGGCAAAGTCGGTGAAAGGTCCTTGAAGGCCTTGAAGTACATATTAAGCATATGCAACTGAATCAACCTGAATAGAGAGACCCATCTCTGTAAACGAACAAAATACTTGTAAGAATGTTTGATGAAAAGCATGACAGCTCTAGTTCTCTCACCTGTAGTTCCCGGTATCACTGACCCTGGAGTATTTAAAGTACAGGTCTCCGTTTTGGTGGGAGATGTATATCCGTTCGTTTGGAATGATCCTGTTGGCAACGACGCCCTTATACCATCCGTAGTGCAGTGCTGTAAATTAGTGACAGATTTGTTTAGAATACATGTATCATTAGGGTAGTTTCTTTTCTTTATTGAGTAATCACAAGACGTGGTGATTGCACACTCGGCACTTTTTTTCAACTTAGTTTTATGCCGCCACAAAGTGACGATACAATAGTCATTTTCACCTGAGTGTAAAAGGCACAAGGTCGGTGGCATGGTTCGAACCCGGGACACCTTGGTTTTGAGACGAACATTCTACCGTTACGTCACACGACCCCACAAAATCACTTTCAATTTCCAAGTCAGGAGTATGAAAACAAAATTGTGGAGAAAAAGGGCAAACAAGTTGTTCTAAATACAACTGGTGTGTCAATTTACATCAGATCATGCTACCAAAGTTATGTTTACATCGGAAAATGTTTAATGATCCACCTTTGTTTTTTCAGCTTAGATACAAATCACCTTTCAATCTTTCATTTAAGGGACATTTTTTACTCATCTTACTTACCAGGGTAAGCATCAGGACCTCCACACTCAAGTTTGAATCCTCTTCCTTCCGTCACAGTCACCGGAGAGCGGGCAGTTTTGTCAAATGCTCCGACGTCTTCAATGAAGAAGAAATAAATCTTAGTTTTCGAAAGAAATTATGTATTTAAGAGGCATTAAGGAGGCCATATATATCAGAGCACTTCAGCCTTCACTTAATAGAGATGGTGGACGATATAAACTCCCTGGCACTTTTGATCAATTGCTTACGTCACGTATCAGTAAAGTCTCGTTTGAATAAGGTCACGTGTTTGTAAACCGTAACTCTCGCGATATCACGTTGTGAAGTGATTGGTTCATGTCCGGGGGCCAATTGCAAATTACAAAACATAAAAGAACAATGAAATAGAGTATAAAATAACTAAAGTCTACATGATAAAGGTAGCTGTCTAGAACTATAACTATGTCTAAAACTATGTCTGAAGGGTTTGACTTCTCTTCTGTAAACCATGGAAGACGTAATGTCCCACCTTTTCCAAAATTTGTGGGTTTTGGGAAGTTAAAAGAAGAATAGTATAAATGTACAACTCACGTGCCATCCTGAAGTTAGCAGGGACACTGACGTCTGCCCCATGTTCGTTATAGGCGATACACTGGTACACCCCCTCATCGTCCGGGTACCGCGGGTTGTAGATGATCAGGAAGCCGCCTGCTATGGTGTATTTCCCCGATGCCAGGTCTACTTCTGTATTGTCTTTTGTCCATGTATATTTTGGGTACGGTCTACCGATGGCTCTACATGTAAGGTTGGCGTATTTGATGCCCTCAGACAAGGCCTTGTCAGGGTCATACACCGTAGGGTTGTGGGGCTGTTCGAAGATCACCGGGTCCCATGCAGTTTCTAGCCACTCTGTGGGGAAAAACAACACATTGTTTTGATCGACAAGATTACCATGTTAAGCAAGATTATCATGTTGACTGTCGTACGCCACTTTATGTAAGAACTCTTTCATTCCTTAAATGTGCAAGCTAGCCAACAAACACTGACAATAATTCCCCTCAGAGTCTACTGCGCCATTGCTTGGTACATTTGTAGAATAACCTCCCTGGCTGAACTACTTGGAACGTACACAATTTTTGTATGAAAGTTGTTAACATTTTATAGATTTCGACATTACGACATACAGGGGAAAATACAAAACATAAATACATTGACAACAATAGCGAAATAAAGTAACTCACAGCTAAACAGAAGATAGAAGAAGAAGACGAGTGACATTTTATTATAGACTGTATCTCACGGAGAAATATCCTCTTAAATTGTATACGATAATTATGGGTTCACCACACCACGAAGTGGTGGTGAACCCATATTGCTTTTTCTGATGTTTCTTCTTCTTCTTCTTCTTCTCCTTCTCCTGCCATTTTTTAAATGGATTCAGCTTCTTCATTTTAGGGCCCAAGGTCCTGAAATTTGGTATGGAGGTACAGTGGGCAAATACCCCTAGGCGTTAAATTATTGTGATACAGGCTTTTAGAATGGTTTTATTTGAGTTTTTTGGCTGTGTTATAGCAAATGTATTACTGTGTTAGTGTGCCTTGTTTACCACGTTTGGGCATGAGTCATCACAATGGAATGCAGGGCATCAACCAATAGGCATGCAGCTTTCCTCTATTCTTCTTGCTGATTGGCTGTTGGGATTTAACTTGATCAACACCTGCACAGAGCATTTCCACCTGCACAGAGCATTTCTTGCTGATTGGCTGTTGGGATTTAACTTGATTAACACCTGCACAGAGCATTTCCATACTGACAGTATGTCTGTATTCAAGTGTTTTGGTAGGTATTTCAAGCTTTTCTGCTCCAGCATTGGAATGCGGGGCATGAACTTTTTTTTTTTATTTTGAAAATCAACAGTTTGCATTATGCAATTATAAATCCTAACAAATAAAGTAGGGAATAGCTATCCAACTGTTGTTTTAGTTGTATATTACTTCATATTATAGTTATATCAATGTAAATCATTGTTTTCCCTTGTGTTTCTCATTCTTTCCCTGCCATGTCGTAAAATGTGGTGAACCCATCGCTGTATTTGCTCCAAAGCAAATATTGGCCTTTCTAGTTGAAGATAAGTTTCCTAGTTTTAGATATTCATATTCATATCTGATCCTGTACATATTAGTTTGATATAGATGTAGCAAGATAGACTTTTACATTGTATCACTGTACATAGAACGTTATCACAATGACCTGTATTTAGTTCGTAAGAGCATAAATGTACAATAATTAATTCATAGGAAACATGGACTGTTACCGACACTTACCAATGCCTTGTGACTGCATCAGCACCACACCTATGGCAGTTGAGATGACCGCGATGCACAGGAGTCTCGCCACACTACCCATCATGCTTTGCTGTTCTCTACGATGTTACCCTTTCACGACTTGCCACGTTGGTCATAAACTCATCTTCCTGAAAGAAAAAGAAAGAAAAATCTTTAACATCTGACGTGAGCCTCAAAATTTCAATCCATAAACTCAGCTTCCTGGACTAAACAATATTTAATATCTAATTTAAATCCAGAAATGCTTAAGTTTAGCAACTATAAGGGCATTGTTGTTTTAACAAAATTTGTAGAGGATTTGCCAATGGAAACCTGTCTTCTTTTCTATCAATCACTTGTCTCAGATTGTTGCTGGCAAATACGAATAAGATTACACAGTTTTTCTTTCTTTTATCTTATATTCTGTTCCCATGGTATCATGGCGCTATATCTTCACGTATATGTCTATTGATTGTATAATCCAATACATTAAAATGCAAAATGACTTTTTTGCTATGTGCGGAATGTTAATAATGAAATACTATCCGGGGCACATACACCTCAATTGTTCCGTAGGGTTATGCCCTCCAAAATTACTAAGCTGCGAACGTTAACAGTAAAACATGCCCTTGGGGACAGTGTGCCCTTGAAAAATGTAACGCTGCTCCAAACAAAGACACAACCAGCTTGTATGTCTACCCATATATTGTGCAAAAACATACACATTCTAAATGGGCTTTATCCAGTTACATCCGAAAAGATAGTAGCTATGTCTTCGACTATTTACATGCCACAAGTACAGTTGTTCAGATGTCAATGTTGTTTTGTCATTTGTCACTTGTAATTGATTCGCCCCCCTCCCACCCCTCAGGACATTCTAAATACCAAGGGCGCACAAACGGCTGTTCAGAAGGCCAGGGAAGGCCGCCATATTGTTTTAACACTATCTTGCGAAGGATGAGTCACCTGTAATGAGTCAGTCTTAGGACCTAGGTCAGGGAAAAGCATCAACGTCCTTTGTTTAGTGTAAGGAAAATCAAAATCTCTTCTCTATGAAGTTACTAACAGTCAATTGCATACCGCATACATAATAAACTTCATTTACAAAATCAAGCCCGAAGGCTAGTTGTATGTACGGTGTCAAAGAATAGAAAACATATTAACTACACTACTGTCTGATCAACTTGTTTGTTACTATGGGGTTTGACTTCTTCTTGGGAGGCAGAGGACAATGGGTAGTCCATGTCCCCATTTATAAATGGGGGAGGGGGGCACAAGTGACGTATGGATAATACATATTTGTTTGGATAATACATACATATTTGTATGGATAATACATAACGTTTGTTGTTATGGGGTTTGACTTCTTCTTGCAAGGCAGTGGATAATGAATAGCCCCACGTCCTCATTATAAATGGGGGAGGGGGGCACACATGACATGTGGATAATACAGTCACTCCTTCAACATTTATCAGTCAAAAGATTGTCTAGTTATGAATACACCGGGTATGAAATGATTAATAATTTATGTAGCTTCTTGTTGCAGGTGTTACAAAGGATATGTAGCCCAGCCTCTGTTGAATGTGTGTTCCGTGACTTACTTCCAAATATGGGAAACGCCATTGATATATTGAAGGGACACCTCGTGCAGATAAGAGAGCACGAATATGCAAGTACTAATTGCAGAAATCTATAAAAATACTTATTGTACTTTTCCAGAGTGACCATACTACATCATGCTACAACATTGCAACGCAAAAGTTAGACCTAAAGCCATCCACAGCAATGTTCGGGCGGCAACATTGGATTTTTAAAATCAATTTTCTTGTCATTTATTAAGTTGAATCAATCCTATCTAATAGCATAATGCGATGTCACTGACGGAAAACAGTTGCTTGTTTTGTATCGTTGGTCAGTTCTAGCAAAGAGACGCCTCACAATGTCACATAACTTGTTTGGAGGCTATTTCAAATGCTTCAAGTATAAAATGATGACGAAAATACATGCGTTAAAAAATTACCGTTAATGTCAGTATAGCAGACAGGTTTCCAGAATATTTCTTCTTTTTTTTGTTCCGCTACTCTATAATTGAATGATAGAGTGAACCACTGAGTTGTCAAGTTGGTGAATTTAATGGTCTGGAAACCGAATATATTGCTGTCAAGTTAAGAAAGCCAGTGAGCAAATCTTTGAAGTCAGGCCAACTTCCATACACCCGCTAACCAAAGTCAACATCTTTGGTCAATCAAAACACAAAACCCCGTGTAAATGTATGATAGTTGTCTAGCGCTAGCCATGAAAACCAGTCTTTCAAGTTTCGTACGGGACGCCTACCGCTTTCTGACATGTGTACAGAACAATTGACTACAGTGTTCCGAACAAGATGATTAACTTCAGTGTTTCAGCTCACTTTGCAATCGGTCCACACTAATGACAAATCAAGGAATCATGAAACAACAAAACAACAAGCTTTTGCTTCTGTATCCAACGTGTTAACGTACAAGGACATGTTCACAAGTTTTTAATTTCTTTGCCAACTCTAAACTGCAAAAAATCTTAGTGATGAGTTTATGAACCATAGATTCTTATCTGAACACTTGCAGTAAAAAGTGGAAATTATCACCACGGTAGATAATTTATTAACTAGAAATAACCGGTTCTAGTGACATCGTCCACTGGAAGATGCCTCAGTAGTGGTCTTTCCGTTTTTATATCACGTTTGGTTGATATCCATGACTCCTGGACGTTGAATGATACGCAAATCAAACAAAAGAAAACCACTTCTTTGCATTGCATCGGCGTGTCAAAATAAAAGCACCTGTTCTGTATAATGAATGTAATGAATGTAATAAAAAGTATCTGACGAAAGCAGCTGTCCACATTGATGTAAACTAAAAAATTACACCAAAAAGCAGTTACCCAAGCAACTGGATATGATTTTGGAGACTTTCAAAATTATACATGTATCCAGTTGCTTGAGTAACTGCTTTTTGACGTATCTTATTACCTGGATGTCTAACCTTCTGAAGTTCATCGACGTAAACTAACAAGTGTTCTGAAAAGCGGTAAAATGATCCCCACTTGTTTTCTCTGTTGGTTTTAATTTCTGAATGTTAAAACAATCCCAAATCACCTTCATAACTTCGTGTTATTTCTTTCTAACAAAGTATGTAACAAAAACGGTCCTGGCCAGTTTATCTAGGGACAAGGTAACGAAAACACCTGGGGTCCAAAAAAGAAAAATGGCGGTCCTTGGGGGAGGACATCACCTTTGACCTATAAGTCCTCGGGGAATAACGACAACTCTCATCATGGCTTGACCGCGTCAGCAAAATTTTTATGCCATTACAAAACAATATGTCAGTCACTACTGACGTCCATGCACGTTTTAAAGGTATTGCAGCACACAGAAAAACTGTTTTCAGGATATTACTGCATAACAGTAAGTCATGCGTGACAAGTTGAGTCAGTGTCTGACGCATCCTGTATTTTTATACTGTTTGTGGAAAATATGTTGCGTGCGATGAAACAAGATGGCGGAACATTAGATATTTTGTACTCTGACCTACGCAGATGCTAAGCTCGATATTTAGAACTGAAATCTAGTTTATTGGGACACATCCTGAGGCGACAGTACCTTATAATTATTACCCTTCTCCAGATCTGTCCATCTCTGTCCTCTTTAGGCTACAGACATTCATTAAAAAGACATTTAAGTACCTACATTGTACTATCCTCCTTGCCAGTCTTTTGAAGTGTTGTATAAATGTAAAAACACAGGTAGAATAGCAACTACATGTAATTGTATGTACATGTATGCTAAATGTGGATCCAAATAAACTCAAACTCTAGGAGTCGGATTTTTCATAATGTAATATGCCTTTATGATTACAAGTCAATTCTCGATAGTCAGTTTCTTGTACATGTGGACCGCCTCCTTTACGATTTGGCATGCCATCAGAAAACTGCACATCGTGGGCCCCCAAAAAAGCCAAACACCTAGAGTCATCTACGGTTTAGCCTGGCGGTTACCAAATGGAACAGAGGACGAAAGAGACTCGACAACAAAAATACGTTTAGAACCAGGCTACATGTACCTACCTACAATGCTATCCATGAAGCGTACCTACAATACCTTAAGAATACATACTGTAATGTATTCGTCGTTTTTTTACATCCTATGTACATTTACGATAGCATTCTAGTAAACAAATCCTTGTTTTGATTCTTTCTCACTGTGATACAAACATTGCGTAAGCTTTTCAGCCTTTAATGTGGTTGCTAACTCTCCATACTTAAAAACTTCCCAAGAAACGTTATACAGTAGTACCTTGTATATAATCTACATAGCAACCTGATATTGTAGAATACAATTTAAGGGCACGTTTATATTTTTATAGGTAACTGTTCCAAACAAAGACCACTTACCAATGTTAAATAGTGTCAACCTGTGTAAAAATTACAACCACAGCTATATATTAGCGTTCCCAAGTACACGTACACTGTACTAGTATCAGGGTTCTCCCCAAGCAATGGAGCAAGGACCAAAATCCAAGCACCCCTCCCAAAATGTTCAAATTTTGGATTTTCTCTTAATATTTTTTATGAAAATGTGCTGATTTTTCATTAACCGATTAGGGAACACCTTTCCCCTAAGAATTTCTGGGGAGACCCATGAGTACAAAAACACTTGCATACACTACCCTGAGTAACACGTTAACAACTACAAATGTACCGTGATTATGCAAAGGGTTTTGGGGGATCATGGAAGACTTGGCCCCCTCCTGGCCGCGCTAATCGTAATTCTGACAGATTCCTGTTTGCACAGGGTCTTCCATGTTTGCCTATGGAAGCGGAAAGGCGGGTGTTGGGTGTCGTGCTGTGTGCGTCGGTGGATTATCCTGCGCTACGGTAGAACCACTTGTTACGGGCTCAATTTATACATGTAAATTGGGCTGTTCCCAGCGTTGAAAAAGCCCTCATGTGGTTAAATCAACCGTTGATGTAGCTTAACAATTTTTTGCTGTATGAAAACTGAATTAAATTTAGTCGCTGTTACGTTCTTAATTATGCAATAGTTTCTAGCTAGTCTCAAAATTCCAGAGTCTCAAAATCTTTCCACCCTGTGACCCACTGACAATGTAGATCACTGTCTAATCTTCCTGTTTTGAATATATTGTTGTCTGTAGCTTTCAAATATGTGTTACATTGCCAAGTTTCGACAGGTTTACCTTTGTGTCTACTGCACTCTAGGTCTAGTAGATTTTATCTATTGTGTTTTGCGGCCCAATATCCAGTTACCAGTCGTGTACCAGTATGGTAATTATTCTGTAATTGGGCGATGTTTGAATCTACTTCTAACGACTGTTTCTGGTAGTGAACGAAAACCTTAGCCGCGTGTTGCTAAAAGTTGTAAGAAAGGTATGCCGTGTGCATTCCACGAGCCAAGAGTGCGGTGAACTGTGTGTAAACTACGCTAAAAATTTGTCGCGAATTTTCTCAGTGATTTTAAAAGGTGTGCTTTATGCTAGGCGTGTCTAGGTTAGTTTTTTCTACATTTTATCTACACTTCCCCAGGTACCATTTAGAAAAAACACACCAAACCCGCCGAAGTAAAGAAGCGGTTTTACTGACACATTTGTGGAAAACATACCGGGACCAAGGCTAGGTCCGGAAGCGGTTCTGGGTTGATATAAGCCCCGCATACCTGGGCTGGCCGTATGAATTACGCGACTCCGTAAACAGAAGAGCTAACTTACCTGTCTTCAGACACTTTACTCTGACACCCTGCGTCCAAATGCGTTTTCCCAGCACGTTCCCACCAAAGAAGAGAAGAATGATCGCTGTTTAGAGTGACACTTGTCAAAAGCCGTCCACGGAACTGTTACCCAACACGAAGATATATCGCGGTTTAGCAGGGCGTCCGACAGCTTGGTAGCGACTCTGTGTTTTTTGGCCGTAAGGCAGCTCAAAATGGCGTCTGACAAATTACCAGTGCGCCGGCGCGCCCTGTGAGGTCATTCGTGTAAAAGGGCGGGGAAGAGTCAGGCACCAGTCACAGGTGTGTTCCTCTCATACCACAAAACACCCTCGCACACGAAATCCGATCCTCAGCAAACGTAACTCGATACCAGAAGACCTGCGGCTGACCGAACAGACAGTTTGCTGACGTTTGAATGGTGGCTGAGTTTCAGGGTTGTCTGTTAGGCCCTACCTGGCGTGAAGACAATGATTTTCCCCTGTGCATTGTTCTGCTTGAACAGTTGCCAACAATGCTGACTTATCTTGTCGAAAACAACGCAAAGACCGCTGGGAATTGTTGTTGTAGTGATTTTACGATTGGCTCATACACTCCAAAATATACCTTGTCGTAAACAAGACTATACCACCAGACACTAGTCTACTACAAATCATTATTCAATTTGACATATAGGTTTGATAAGTGACAATTTACTTCAATATACAGGATCCCTGGGGTGAAAACTGTAATTTAGATTGAGTGACGTTTCCTTAAAGTAAGACCGAATGAAGTTAACCTCCTTGTTTATACCTTAACATGTTCGTTCACTTCTCACAAGCGTTTTGGCTTAATTTCATGTTTGTAACTGTACTGGTGACAGGTATACGATGCAAACTGTACATGTACACCAAACTATAGTCAAATCGTGAGTCACAGACCATATGCTAGTCTCTTGATTCATAGTATAATGATGACATAAATGTCTTCTGGCTATATTGATGATCAATCAACTGCATGAATCAAAAAGTGGTCTAAAATCGGTACCAGTTAATCGGTAACATCTGAATCACTACAAAAACGACACCATATTGTAAATAGCTGATATATCCCCTGAATTACAGAATGTAATAATACTCTTCCTAAGAAAATACAATAGATTAGCTTTAGTATCATTATGGACTAGCTCGCTAGAATTATATTTTAGTATTAGTTTGTGTATGTACTCTTGTTGTTTCTTTGCCATACATTGTACCAGCTACAATTGTTGAGCAATAAAGGTTTGATTTGATTTTATATTTTAATAGTGTCCAAGTTCATCCTTAGGTCATACTATCAAAAGAATTATAATATCATCCATCTGTATTTCCCATATCTCTGTATATAAAACGATATGCGCGAATCGTAGCTTGTTGTGAGGTTGACGAGGATTTGAGTTACGTATATATACTGTTATAGGCTACCACCGGTCTTATGTCATTGATATACAGTGTTCAACCTCAACAACAGAGTACTAAAAACATCATAAGAAGAAACATGTTGTCATCAGCATTTCTAACTCCTCATTACTATTCCGCCCCCAAGCGGAGGAAACATTTTCGTTACGGTTCAAAACTTTTTCGACCAATGGGAAAGAAGAAGAGTTCTACACGTCTACCCGTGTATACGAATCTAGACGAATTTGAGTTAAATCTGATTCAGATATTACACCCTAACATTACAGACTTTTATTACTCGCGAATGGTTGGCTGGTGTTATGCTGACTTGTAGCCGAATACGAGCCAACCATGTCCGAACCTCCCAACCATCTTCCAACTGTTTTAAACATTCTGATACAGGAAGAACTTTATTGCACGACAATTGCACATGGTACAAACTATGCCAAACTACATAAAGAGATTAACAAACAATAAAATGTGTTGAACAAGACCTAATGTCGAATGAAACCTATACAAATCTATATCATAATTATTTAAATAATACGGGATAGCACAAGTCTTTGAAAAAGTATTACAATCGAGCGGGCTAATCACAAGTTTCGGATTTTTTTTTGTAATAACCAAGCATTCCTATCTTTGTGGGGACCATTACATGTAAGGATACATATTCAAATCTGTCTCTAACATCGAGACTCTTGCAGCAGGTGCCGCCGAATAGTAGCCGACCACGTCGAACACTAACCCATGGTTGCGGGGCGTTCGGATAGTGCTCGGGAGGCCAAATACGTGAATACGTGACAAAGCTCACATATCTAGACTGGTATATATATTTCAGTCCATGCCATGGTATGGATGAAATATATTGTGTTCCCTCATGTTTCTCCTCCTCCTCCTTCTTCTCCTGCCAAACAGTCAAAGGGATTCAACTCATTCATCATTCAGTCAAATGATATTTCAGTCCATACCATGGTATGGATGAAATGTATTGTGTTCCCTCATGTTTCTTCTTCTTCTCCTGCCAAACAGTCAAAGGGATTCAACTCAGCCATCATTCAGCCAAATGACTTGAAATTTGGCATGGAGGTAGAGTGGGCAAATACCCCCAGACGTTTTTTTTTCATTTTTTTGAAACATGCCTTTGAAAGGTTGAAGGTTTTTTGGGGTATTTTTCGACAAAAAATGGATTTTTGGATCCTGAGCCCTGGTATTACAACCAAATGATCTGAAATTCGGTATAAGGGTACCTTGAACGCGTGTCTACAGAATAGTAGTCACATATTTGGCATACACCACTTCCAAATGACTTTTGGGGGACTTTAATGGCTATTTTCAGCAAAAAAAGGCCAAAAGTGCTGTACCCGTTCCATGTTCTATCTAAAGAATGGCCGGTTCCATCCATGGAACACGTGTTCCATTGCGGGTTACCTGAGGTCACATTGCACCTAAGTGGTGCGTAATGACCCACAAATTCAATTTTATGTGCCTAAGACCTTCAAAATGTATCAAATCTCATCATTGTTAGTTTCTGCATACCTGTAATAAGATTAGTAAAGCTTTCGAGATTCAAAGTACTTGTTGTTGCATCTTTGTTCTCATATAGCTACTATTTAATTCATTTATTTGAGAACCTTTGCCAGTTTTGCACTGGGGTAAGTTTGGAATAGTCCACTTTTGCGTGGGAGGGAGATGGACTGAAATATGCTGTATTTGCTCCCAAGCAAATGTCGGCCTTTCTAGTTTGTTAGATGCTTTTTGGGTGTAGTCCAGCTAGGGAAAACCGGTTCTGTGTACCCGGGCAATGCCCTAGAGGGAGAGCGCTTTTCAACGGCTCGCTCTGCCGCAGTACCAACAAAGAAAGCTTCCGTCAGGGTCATTCAACCGTCTAGTCGATTTAATCAGACACATATTACCGATATCTGGATTTATATAAAAAGGATCATGGTCGTCTGACTAGGATATTACCTCATTCGAATTGACAAAAATCGCTCACTTGTCAAATGAACTATTATACACATCATTTGCTACCTCTTCAATGTTCATATTAATGTCAGTGGGCATGCTATTATTTCGACCTATTCTAGTGACATCCTCTTTAGGCTGTCCTCTAGAATTTAGACCGGTAGACTTCTAATCTGAGGTAGATATAGATTTCTTATAGTTTGATTCAAATAATGGCCTAGACGAAGAAAGATGTCTAGCACATACATGTATATTATCTTGCTGATCCAATTCAGACCTGTTCCTGTATTCTAGCCTTTAAGCGAATGAATGAAAGGCGTTTATTTTACGTTTGCGCTCTTGCAAGCTCTCATAATTATTTACAAGTCACCAATAGAAGTACAACTTACAATAAGGCCACAGCAAGTAAATTTTATGAATGAACCCCAAATCTAATGCGATGGGGCGACAAAATAAGGCGGGCTAAAAAAAAGCAAGATTCCTACATTTTCAAATTTTGACATCATAAACCTTGTTAAACAAGAAATGATACATATATTGTGCTAAGTTTACTGCCAACTATTACAACATGCATTTCTCACTGACACAACTTTGAAAATAAAAGTTTTCAATCATTGTACAAGTAGTTTTGATTCAGTGGGAACATCACATATAAACAGCCACCATCACATATAAAGGACCGAAACACATCACTGCATCAAAGTAAAAGACAAAATATTAAATCAGAGCCTTTAATTGTCTCCTCTTTTCATATTTATTTGCCATCCACGTTCTGGCATGGCAAAAGACGTCTTTGCCCATTTTCGGCATGTTGACCACTGTCAGAAGGCAAAAAAAATTTCTTCTTCTTTTTTTCAAAATCAGGCGAAAATTAATGCGTGCGCTGATGTCATCCATACAAATTACTTGTTGTTGCCAAACGTATATCCTGTGCCAGGAGAGCCGGTACCTGGTACAACACGTACAGTGGTCACCTGATTTTGGAAAGGAATGCCCCTTTTCCTTTTAATCTGTTATCATCGTTGCTATAACTGATAGTGAGATCAACGCTTTTTCGTTATTATCATCATTTTCATCATTCACGCATACATTATTATGTCAGATTTCGAATTTTTGTCCGCAGAATCAAACAGGTGGTTTTTTATCTGTACATCAATGGCCAACTTTTGGAAGGTCCCGGGAGGATGTTTACACAGAGGACGGGAAAGATATACGTGATTAGGCCACAGCAATTAAATTTTATGGATAACATCCTCCGTAGACTCCAAATCTAATGCGAGCGGGCGAAAAAAAACGCGTGCCAAAAAAACAAGATTCTTACATCTTAAAATTTTGATTCAATCGGAACATCACAGCCAACATCACATATCACTGCTTCAAGAAGAAACAAAACATTAAATCAGAGCCTTTTCTTGTCTCCTCTCTTTACAGTTATCTACCACCCACCTTCCGGCATGGCAACAGACATTTTCGGCATGGTGACCACTTTCAGAAGGCAATGAAATTTCTTTTTTTTTCCAAAATCAGGCGAAAATTGATGCGCGCTCTGATGTCATCCATAGAAATTACTTGCTGTGGCATAAATATACAGTTTCTGACAGAAATATACCATCTGTAAAACCCCTATCACGTGTCACATGTAATATTATTAATTGATAACTGTATAATGTAATGTTATCAATTGATGTTATAATTGATGCTTATGTGTAAGTTACTATGTTGATAAGATAAGTTTTCCTGTAGTATAATATCCTTGATAGCAGTTAAACGTGTATGTAAATAATAGTTGTATTTTATGTAAAGGACTCAAGGAAGAATAGTGATGCATATATTATCACTAATGGGAGAACCCTAAATAAACAAACAAACAAAAAAACAAACACACTCAGAACCTTCCCCCGAACACTACAACCACCAACCGAGGTTGGCTGAAGTTCGGGAGCAGTC